TACTATAGAAGGAAAAAGAGCAGGGATGGGTGGCGTATCAAATATGACAGGATAAAACATTCTTAGCTTTGTTTAAATTCAGATAAAGTCGCAGTTCTCCAATCATGCAGTATCTGTTTCTCCCCATATCCAAACTCAGGAATAGTCAGGTGGGAATCATTCCTTTCCAAAGGAACACAATGGGGAAACTGAGCCAGGAGGATCCCATCCTAGATTGAGGCTAAGATTGTCCCCTCATCCTTTTTCCCAAATGAATCACATTTCCTCTAAATAGACCTCCACCTGTTCTTATGGCATTTCTCTCAGATACTGATTTAATGCAGACAACTATACCCAAATTTAAACTCAAAACAAAATTCATTATAGTCCCAAGAACCTTTTCCTCAAACAGCAAGTCTCACTAATCACAGCTTAAAGCCAGATGCAGTTACATTCACTCTCATGGAGTTGCAATAAGCAATACAGATTTATCAGGACTCACATACATAAGAGATCTCACTTTACATCTTTCCTTCTCAAATTTAAACTTGCCCTGGTGTAAAAACCAATCATTAGAAATCATTTCTATCTACTGTACATAAACTTGCAACTTCTCAGCAAGTTAAGTTCATTGTCTAGGAGCTGCATAATCCTAACAAGTTCTTTTCTCAGGGCAGATGACCTTGCCCACACAGATACAGTAATTAATTAATCCTTTTGGGGTTTTAGCATTAAAACAGTAATCCCAAACTTAGTTAACAATCTCACAAATTTCATAAATGATAACAAGACAATCTTAACTGAAAATTCTCTTTAAATAAAAACAAAATTTGGAAATTTTGTGCTTTCTACAATTATAATACTTAGAAGGAAATGTTACAAAACAGGATCATATAGAGTGCCCCAACAGCCAGATTCATACCTTTTTCTCTTTTCTCTGAAGACACAATTAATTTAACATTCCAGATTATAAAAGAAATTGCCCTTCCAACAACATAACTAATACAATTGAAAATAGACTCAATTAAAAAAAAATCTCTCTTTCTTTCTAGACCTCTTCACCAGATTCAACAGTCTCCTGGGGCCACATAATTGATAAAGTTCTTAATGCCAAATAACAATATGTGCTCTTAAAATTATGCAAACACACATTTCTAAGTTCAATACCCTTGGCCCTTTATAAAGGGATATTATCCACAAATTCATATATTTCTTTAATATTTCAGTTCCCCATTCAAGTCCACATTTTCTTGTGAAAGTTTTACAAACAGTTTGGAATCACCTATTGTAATCAGGTCAGTTTAAAATGTGCCGGGCCAGTATTCTAACTACTTCTTTTTGATTTCCTTCCAGGTAGGCACCTCTGGAGCTTAATAATCATAACTCACAATAACCAATATGGCATCCTCCCAGGGTGGGGAACTTAATACCCCCCACCCAAATTACGCTCACCAAGACTACTACACAACCTTTTTTTTTTTTTTGCATTTCTGAAGGGAAATAATTGCTCTCCCTCCCCTTCTCTCTTCCCAAACTGCTTTTACAACTTTACCATGCACTCTAAACAATTCACTCATCTTACACTATTTTTCCACTATTCTTTAGTTTCTTTCAATTTACTTTAGTGCCAAACAGTATAACAAGTTCTGACATTAAAAACATCACATTTTTACCAATTTGAATGAGTTGGGGCTCATGGGGAAACATCATGGTCTCAGCAACAGTCGAACCCAGTCATCCCCAACAAACCAAAGCCCTCAGCACAGCCCCTGGCTGCCCATAAATTACCTTTTGTTTATCTTCTGGTACACAAAAACTTTTCTCTTTTATGAGAGGCAGAAAAGATTAAGTGCTACCTCTCTTTCTGATCTGAGGGGAAAAGGTTCCCTTTTTCTCTCTTTGTCTCCACACTCAAACTTGGCCAGAATTAGAATGCAGAGGGAGAGAGAGAAATTATTATTTTTTTTCCAAAAAGTTTCAAAACCTTCTTACTTTCAAAACCTCTATTCACACGGTGCAAATACACTATACCTTCCTTAAGCTTTCTACACATACTCCTCTCTCCTACATGCTTAAACTTTCTTGCCTTTCTTTCTAATGGACTTTGATTAGAGTCCCTTTAAAACTGCACATATCTTATTTCTTTCTAATTCTGACCTGATACTTCGAAAATCCTTCTCAACTTGCCTTTTACCAATCACATAACCTAAATAATAAAGTATTTTTCTCTCTTTCTCTCTCCCATTCACCCACTCCTCTGAAGCTGCTGTTACCAGGGAGGGAGACGGGGAGAGAAAGAAAGCAACTTTCCAGAGTCCAGCTGTAGCCTTTCGCTGTCTGGCTGCAAAAGATACACACTGACACTCACTCATACCATGCACAGACACAAACACACACACACACACACACACACACACACACAAATAGACATATAACAACCCTCCGCCCTGTAGAATCCTCAAATCCTCAAATCATATTTAATCATTTTCTTCCTATCCTTTCCTCTATATTTTGGTAGTTCATTCCAACTCTCCAATCAGTTGCCTAAAAGACTGTCCATAGGTACCTCACATTTGCACTCTGACTGTGCAGATTTAGATTGTTCCTTTCCCATTCCTAGGGACCCCCTAGGCCCTCACCTAGGGAATTTATAGGAGCTGTCACCAAACTCCCCGAGTCTAAAGACTCAGCCAAATCACTGAGGAGGGTCGCCCACTCCTCACCAGTCACCCATGAAGCTTTCTCAGCGGCGTCCTTTTGATGAGGTATCTATTCTGCAATTTGATAAGACTCCGACTTAACTAGAGTCCGCCCTAAAGGGCCCTCACCCTATGCCAATTATCTCCAGGCCCCTGAGTGCTTACCTCTGGGTTGCAGGAGTACAACTTACATGGCTGCTCTCACTCACTGGCCGGCCAGAATTTCTTAGTTTCGTTTTTAATTGTTGGAGCCCTAACAAACTTTCTGTTTCTCCAAGTCCCTCTCTTTGGATTTATTTCAAAGACTGGGAGGCAACTTCCCTCCGGGGCTCAAGACCTCCGAGAAATCCCGGATGCACGCTTGGTCTTGACCTTGGCAGGGAAGCCCCCTCCCTAATCAAATAAAATTCCGGACAATTCCCCAACTGAGTGGGATAGAGACCACCTACCCAAATAAAAATTCAGAGGTTTCTCTCAGTAGAAACAGAATTTTTATTCTAGCAAGTCTCGCACAAGAATTGGGCATCACCTACTCAGGGCAGACTGGAGCAGGAAGGCAAGATACAGGCAGCAAACAAGCAGTTACATATCCTTAGACAAACAACTCTAAGAACCGCCCCCCCCCCACTTGTTTACCTCAATCTCTTTATCCTCACTGGTTGAGGTAAGAGACCTTACATTCTACCCAGAAACTAAGAGATACATTTTACCCAAAACAAGCTTGGGAGCTAGAAGACTGCCTTATTTGGCAAAGATAAGGCTGGGGTGGTGGTTACAAAACAAGGGAGGGGGTGGGCAACAGATGTATGACCTGATCACATGATTTACAGGAAAACAAAACTTAGGCCCGGCTAATGCTTAAAGCCTTATCTAAATTTTGGGGCATAGCTTCCATTTCATATGAGAAACTTTCACTTGTCCCACACAAGTGTGTCTGTAAAATATGGCAATTCAAAAAAACAAGTTCAAGGGACCCCTTAATAGTTCTTAACAACTTTCAAATCAGTAACGATGCTTATCTAATGGAAAGAAAAAAATTAAACATACATTTGTAGTGTCAAATCATAACAAGGCAGTAACATATACCCTCAAGGACAGAAGAATGAAATAAGTTAATAAATGTTTATTAAGTGCCTAGGTACCAGGCACTATGCTAAGTGCTCCACATACAAAGAAAAGCAAAAAGATAGTCACTTCCCTCACAGCCTAACAGATTCTCATCTGTTATAATCATAACAATATAGATAAGGAAACAACCATGTTTGTTGTTTAAACTTGTTGTACAAACAAGCTATGTACAAAACAAAAATAGGAAATAATCAACACAGGAAATGCACTACACCACGAGAGATTGGGAAAGGCTTCTGGGGAAGAAGGGATTTTAGTTGGGACTTAAAGGAAACCAGGAGGTGGACATAAGGAGGGAGAGAATTCCAGGCATGGGGTACAGAGAGTGAAAATGGGATGTTGGAGTATAAGTTGTAAAAAGAATGGAAAGGTGGTGGTGGGGCTAGGTTATGAAAGGCTTTGAATGTCAGAAGATTTTATATTTGATCACGGAGGTGATATGGAGCCACTGGAGTTATTGAGTAGGATTCACATGGTCAGCAGAGCTGAGTGTTTTTGAGGAGGATGAATTGGAGTGGGGAGATACTGGAGGGAAGACTAATTAGGGGGCTATATTCAGGTGACTCAAAGTAGCCTGTACTGTGAATGAAGAGAAAGGGATGGGGTTAAGATATTTAATGAAGAATTAAAGATTTGGCACCCACTTGGCCTTGTGATGTGAAGGGGAGGGAGGAGTCCAGGCTAACATTAAGGTTGTGAACCTGGACTGAGCGAATGTTGTAATAGGGAAGGTTTCTTGGAGGAGGTTATATTTGAGTTGGGTTTTCAAGCATGGACAATATTTCACTAGCAAAAGGTTCAGAGCAAGGAAAGAATGTACCAGCCTGGAGACAGTTACTTGAGCACAATGGCTTTTTCCTCCCTGTGTATGTACCCAACTCCTGGCACATAATGGGAGTCTAAAAGATGCTGGTTGATTGATTGACCTAGCCATAACCTCAAATAAGGAACTTTATACCCGATTGCCAACCCCCTTCTCTTTGTCTCTCTCTCTCTGACTGTCTCTGAGTCTCTCTTCCTCCTCCCCCTCACCTCATTTGTCTTCCCACCCCGCAGCAGGGGACCGGAAGGGACAGGAGGGAGGCAGGACTTTGGAGCACGCGCACCGGCGGCCCCACCCTCTGGGGCCAAACTTAGGCATCCACTAAAACCCAGGGGGCGCAGCTCCAGGCAAGAGGGTAGGGGTGGCGGCTGCTCGCCCTTTGGAAGGAGCTACCAAGGCAGTGTGCCGCCCTGTCCACTTCTCCGGGGCTTTCCCATCAGTGATAGCTGCTGTGGGCCGTCAGGACCTCCCACAGTGGGACAGGAGCTGCCTTACAGCGTCCTCACCTGGTCTCATCTCAGGTCCAGAGGTACTGAGGGAAGGTGTGAGAGGGCGTAATGGGAAGAAACCTGGGGGGGGGAGTGTCAAAGTGGGGCCTGAGGTAAGGGGGGCTGGGGGCCAGGGTGGGGAGGCTTCGAGGTGGGGTAGCAGGAGGGGAGGCATAGAGGTCCGGTCTTAGGTAAGGAGGGATGGGGAGCGGGGGAGGGGGGAAGGGGGGAGACAAAAAGGTGACGTCTGAGGTAAGGGGGATGGGAGCGGGGGGGGGCGTCACTGTGGGGTCTGAGGTAAAGGGGGGTGGGAACACGGGAGGAGGCGTCGAGGTAGAGTCAGAAGTATGGGGGGTGGGGAGCGCGGAGGGGGGAGGGGGGAGGCAAAAAGGGGACGTCTGAGGTAAGGGGGGTGGGGGCCAGGGAGAGAGGCGTCAATGTGGGGTCTGAGGTAAAGGGGGCTGGGAACACGGGAGGAGGCGTCGAGGTCGGGTCTGAAGTAAGGAGGGGTGGGGAGCAGAAGAGGAGGCGTCGAGGTCGGGTCTGAGGTAAGGGAGCGTCGAGGTGGGGAGCAGAGAGGGAGGCGTCCGTGTGGGGTCTGAGGCAAGGAGGGGCGTCGAGGTGGGGTCTGAGGTAAGAGGGGTGGGGAGCAGATGAGGCCTCAATGTGGGATCTGAGGTAATGGAGCATCGAGGCGGGTTCTGAGGCAAGGGGGGCGTCAAGGTGGGATCTGAGGTAAGGGGGGAGGGGGGAGGCAAAGAGGTGAAGTCTGAGGTAAGGGGGGATGGGGAGAGGGGGGCGGGAAGCCTCAAGATGGCGTCTGAGGCAAGGGAGGCGTGGAGGCGGGGTCTGAGGTAAGGGGGGGTGGGAACACGGGAGGAAGCGTCGAGGTCGGGTTTCAAGTAAGGGGGGTGGAGAGGGGAAGGGAAGCTGAGTGGGGGGATGAGGCGTCAAGGTCAGGTCTGAGGTAGGGGGAGGGGGGGCAAAGAGGTGAAGTCTGAGGTAAGGGGGGTTGGGGAGAGGGGGGCGGGAAGCCTCAAGATGGCGTCTGAGGCAGGGGAGGCGTGGAGGCGGGGTCTGAGGTAAGGGGGGGTGGGAACACGGGAGGAAGCGTCGAGGTCGGGTTTCAAGTAAGGGGGGGTGGGGAGCTTGCTGGAGGAGGCGTCGAGGTCGGGTCTGAAGTAAGGGGGCGTCGAGGCGGGGAGCAGAGAGGGAGGCGTCCGTGTGGGGTCTGAGGCAAGGAGGGGCATCGAGGTGGGGTCTGAGGTAAGAGGGGCGGGGAGCAGATGAGGCCCCAATGTGGGATCTGAGGTCATGGAGTATCGAGGCGGGATCTGAGGCAATGGAGTATCGAGGCGGGATCTGAGGCAAGGGAGGCATCTAGGTGGGGAGCAGAGAGGGAGGCGTCAGTGTGTGGTGTGAGGCAAGGGGTCCTCGAGGTGGGGAGCAGAGAGGGAGGTGTCAGTGTGGGGTCTGAGGCAAGGGGGGGCGTCGAGGTGCATCTGAGGTAAAGGGTGTGGGGGCCAGGGTGGGGAGGCTTCGAGGTCGGGTCTGAGGTAAGGAGGGGTGGGGACCGGGGGAGGGGGGGAGGGGAGAGGCAAAAAGGTGACATCTCAGGTAAGGGGGGATGGGGACGGGGGGGTGTGAATGTGGGGACTGAGGTAAGGGGGGGTGGGAACACGGGAGGAGGCGTCGAGGTCAGGTCTGAAGTGGGGGGGTGGAGAGGGGAAGGGAAGCTGAGTGGGGGGATGAGGCGTCAAGGTCAGGTCTGAGGTAGGGGGGGAGGGGGGGGCAAAGAGGTGAAGTCTGAGGTAAGGGGGATGGGAGAGGGGGGCGGGCCTCAAGATGGCGTCTGAGGCAGGGGAGGCGTGGAGGCGGGGTCTGAGGTAAGGGGGGTGGGAACACGGGAGGAAGCGTCGAGGTCGGGTTTCAAGTAAGGGGGGGGGGGGAGCAGAGGAGGAGGCGTCGAGGTCGGGTCTGAAGTAAGGGGGCGTCGAAGTGGGGAGCAGAGAGGGAGGTGTCCGTGTGGGGTCTGAGGCAAGGCGGGCGTCGAGGTGGGTCTGAGCTAAGGGAGGTGGGGGCCAGGGTGGGTAGCAGGAGGGAGGCTTCGAGGTCGGGTCTGAAGTAAGGGGGCGTCGAGGCGGGAGCAGAGAGGGAGGCGTCCGTGTGGGTCTGAGGCAAGGAGGGGCGAGCGAGGTGGGGTCTGAGGTAAGAGGGGTGGGGAGCAGATGAGGCCCAATGTGGGATCTGAGGTAATGGAGCATCGAGGCGGGTTCTGAGGCAAGGGGGCGTCAAGGTGGGATCTGAGGTAAGGGGGGGGGGGAGGCAAAGAGGTGAAGTCTGAGGGTAAGGGGGATGGGAGAGGGGGCGGGAAGCCTCAAGATGGCGTCTGAGGCAGGGGAGGCGTGGAGGCGGGGTCTGAGGTAAGGGGGTGGGAACACGGGAGGAAGCGTCGAGGTCGGGTTTCAAGTAAGGGGGGTGGGGAGCTTGCTGGAGGAGGCGTCGAGGTCGGGTCTGAAGTAAGGGGGCGTCGAGGTGGGGAGCAGAGAGGGAGGCGTCCGTGTGGAGTCTGAGGCAAGGAGGGGCATCGAGGTGGGGTCTGAGGTAAGAGGGGCGGGGAGCAGATGAGGCCTGAATGTGGGATCTGAGGTAATGGAGTATCGAGGCGGGTTCTGAGGCAAGGGGGGCGTCAAGGTTGGATCTGAGGTAAGGGGGAGGGGGGAGGCAAAGAGGTGAAGTCTGAGGTAAGGGGATGGGGAGAGGGGGCGGGAAGCCTCAAGATGGCGTCTGAGGCAGGGGAGGCGTGGAGGCGGGGTCTGAGGTAAGGGGGGGAACACGGGAGGAAGCGTCGAGGTCGGGTTTCAAGTAAGGGCGGGGTGGGGAGCTTGCTGGAGGAGGCGTCGAGTTCGGGTCTGAAGTAAGGGGGCGTCGAGGCGGGGAGCAGAGAGGGAGGCGTCCGTGTGGGGTCTGAGGCAAGGAGGGGCATCGAGGTGGGGTCTGAGGTAAGAGGGCGGGGAGCAGATGAGGCCCCAATGTGGATCTGAGGTCATGGAGTATCGAGGCGGGATCTGAGGCAATGGAGTATCGAGGCGGGATCTGAGGCAAGGGAGGCATCTAGGTGGGGAGCAGAGAGGGAGGCGTCAGTGTGTGGTGTGAGGCAAGGGGTCCTCGAGGTGGGGAGCAGAGAGGGAGGTGTCAGTGTGGGGTTTGAGGCAAGGGGGGCGTCGAGGTGCATCTGAGGTAAAGGTGTGGGGGCCAGGGTGGGGAGGCGTCGAGGTCGGGTCTGAGGTAAGGAGGGGGGAGGGGGGAGAGGGGGAGGTAAAAAGGTGACATCTGAGGTAACGGGGGAATGAGGAGGGGGGGCGTGAATGTGGGGACTGAGGTAAGGGGGGGTGGGAACACGGGAGGAGGCGTCGAGGTCGGGTCTGAAGTGGGGGTGGAGAGGGAAGGGAAGCTGATGGGGGGATGAGGCGTCAAGGTCAGGTCTGAGGTAGGGGGGGAGGGGGGCAAAGAGGTGAAGTCTGAGGTAAGGGGGGATGGGAGAGGGGGGCGGGAAGCCTCAAGATGGCGTCTGAGGCAGGGGAGGCGTGGAGGCGGGGTCTGAGGTAAGGGGGGGTGGGAACATGGGAGGAAGCGTCGAGGTCGGGTTTCAAGTAAGGGGGGTGGGGAGCAGAGGAGGAGGCGTCGAGGTCGGGTCTGAAGTAAGGGGGCGTCGAAGTGGGGAGCAGAGAGGGAGGTGTCCGTGTGGGGTCTGAGGCAAGGCGGGGCGTCGAGGTGGTCTGAGCTAAGGGAGGTGGGGGCCAGGGTGGGGTAGCAGGAGGGAGGCTTCGAGGTCGGGTCTGAAGTAAGGGGGCGTCGAGGCGGGGAGCAGAGAGGGAGGCGTCCGTGTGGGTCTGAGGCAAGGAGGGGCGTCGAGGTGGGGTCTGAGGTAAGAGGGGTGGGGAGCAGATGAGGCCTCAATGTGGGATCTGAGGTAATGGAGCATCGAGGCGGTTCTGAGGCAAGGGGGCGTCAAGGTGGGATCTGAGGTAAGGGGGAGGGGGAGGCAAAGAGGTGAAGTCTGAGGTAAGGGGGATGGGGAGGGGGGCGGGAAGCCTCAAGATGGCGTCTGAGGCAAGGGAGGTGTGGAGGCGGGGTCTGAGGTAAGGGGGGTGGAACACGGGAGGAAGCGTCGAGGTCGGGTTTCAAGTAAGAGGGGGTGGAGAGGGGAAGGGAAGCTGAGTGGGGGATGAGGCGTCAAGGTCAGGTCTGAGGTAGGGGGGAGGGGGGGCAAAGAGGTGAAGTCTGAGGTAAGGGGGTTGGGGAGAGGGGGGCGGGAAGCCTCAAGATGGCGTCTGAGGCAGGGGAGGCGTGGAGGCGGGTCTGAGGTAAGGGGGGGTGGGAACACGGGAGGAAGCGTCGAGGTCGGGTTTCAAGTAAGGGGGGTGGGGAGCTTGCTGGGGGAGGCGTCGAGGTCGGGTCTGAAGTAAGGGGGCGTCGAGGCGGGGAGCAGAGAGGGAGGCGTCCGTGTGGGGTCTGAGGCAAGGAGGGGCATCGAGGTGGGGTCTGAGGTAAGAGGGGCGGGGAGCAGATGAGGCCCCAATGTGGGATCTGAGGTCATGGAGTATCGAGGCGGGATCTGAGGCAATGGAGTATCGAGGCGGGATCTGAGGCAAGGGAGGCATCTAGGTGGGAGCAGAGAGGAGGCGTCAGTGTGTGGTGTGAGGCAAGGGGTCCTCGAGGTGGGGAGCAGAGAGGGAGGTGTCAGTGTGGGGTTTGAGGCAAGGGGGGCGTCGAGGTGCATCTGAGGTAAAGGGGTGGGGGCCAGGGTGGGGAGGCGTCGAGGTCGGGTCTGAGGTAAGGAGGGGGGAGGGGGAGAGGGGGGAGGTAAAAAGGTGACATCTGAGGTAACGGGGGAATGAGGAGGGGGGCGTGAATGTGGGGACTGAGGTAAGGGGGTGGGAACACGGGAGGAGGCGTCGAGGTCGGGTCTGAAGTGGGGGGGTGGAGAGGGGAAGGGAAGCTGAGTGGGGGGATGAGGCGTCAAGGTCAGGTCTGAGGT